AAAGGTAGTGCGGAATATTTCTTCATGTTCATCGATGAATTCTCATGGAAGATATCAATTTATTTTCTAACTATTAAATCTCAAGTGTGCCAAAAGTTCAAGGAGTAGAAGATGGCCATGGAGAAGCAGATGGGTGATAGATCAAGTATATAAGGACAAATAATGAGGTAACTCGATGGAGTTCAAGCAATTTTGTATTGAACAAGGCATACAACACCTACTAACAATACCAGAGCAACCATAATAGAATGGGAGTAGCAAAGCAAAATCGAACACTAATAGAGAGAGCAAAAGCATGAGACTACAATCCAGATTGTCAAAGGGCTTTTAGGAAGAAGTGGAACACTAATAGAGAGAGCAAAAGCATGAGACTACAATCCAGATTGTCAAAGGGCTTTTAGGAAGAAGTGATAAATCATGCATGTTATTTAGTCAATTAGACTACAATCCAGATTGTCAAAGGGCTTTTAGGAAGAAGTGATAAATCATGCATGTTATTTAGTCAATTATTCACGATCGACCCCCCTTGAATCTTTGGATCCTAAAAGACGTTTGGATAGGAGAGCCAAGCAGTTATGATTCATTGAGAGCATTTGGATACCCTGCCTACTCTCTAGTATATAGAAACAAAAGAGCAAAATGGATGCAGAGTCAAGGAGGTGCTATTTCATCAGGTTTTTTTGAAGCACGTTAAAGAATTTAAGTTATTGGATTTAGAAAGAAATACCACTTTTATCAGCGGAGATGTCACTTTCGTTGAGGAGTCTATGTCAGATAGTGTTGGACAAGAACCACAAAAGGAGAGCAATGAAGAAGTGAAAGATCATTCAATATAGATGGAGATAACTTGCTCAAAGCAGATTAAAGGTATGGAAACATGAGATATAACTTAGAAGGGAGATGCAAATGTGGACAAGCAGATAGCTACAAATAGAAAGGAGGAGATTTAACCCTAGCAGGAGTATTCTATAGCACAAGGATGACGGGGGAGGACCCACAAGGCACTAGTCATGTGTAGTTTCAAAGGTAAACAGGTAACATTTGCTCTAATTATAATAAAGAGTGGCAATCCAAGCAATTATAAAAAACATATGATAGCGAGGACGGGAACAAGATGATTGTCATCATAAAGGAGATGAGTCACTTTAAAGAATGAGACATGGGACCCAGTCTTCCAAAGGAGAAGCGAGCTATAAGATGCAAGTGATTGTTCAAAAAGGAGGACAATAAGAAGTACAAGGCATACCTCATGGAGAAAGGATATGCTTAGATGAAGGGGGTTGACTATAATGAGATATTTTCTGGTGTTCAATCATACATGATTTGGGTGTTGCATGCAATGATAGTGGAGTATGACATAGAATTAGAACAGCTTAATGTGAACACAATGTTCATACATGGAGGGCTTGAAGAGGTTATCACATGAAGTAGCCTGAAGATTTTATAAAGGAAGCAAAAGAGGACTACATGTATGTCCTCATGAAGCCATTCTACAGATTGAAGCAATCTCCAAGATAGTGGTATAACTGATTCGACTCGTTCATGTTGGCAATGGGATACACTCGATATGAGTAAGATATTGACTTTACATCAGGCAATATGGTGAGGAAGCATTCATATACTTGTTGTTGTATGTGGATGACATGTTGATTGTGGGAAGGAAGAAGTAGGAGATTCAAAGTTTGAAGGCTTAGTTGAGCAAGGAGTTTGATAAGAAAGATTTGCGCGAAACTAAGAAAATATTTAGGATGGAGATTTATCAAGATAGGAAAATAGCAAAGCTTTACTTATCCCAACATAAATATGTTGAAAACATGATTGAAGGGTTCAACATAGGGAAAAATGAAATAGGGAGCACCCAATTGCCAGTCACTTCATGTTATCCTCATACATGTGTTTGAATATAGACAATGAGAAGGAAGAGATATTTCGAGTGTCATACGTAAGTGCAATGGGATCACTTATGTATGTTATGGTTTGCACGAGGGCAAACTTATCATACAGTGTGAGTTTGGTGAGCAAGTACATGTCAAATCTAGAGAAGCCCCATTGGGATGTGGTGAAGTGGTTACTACAGTATCTTAAAGGTGCAACATGACTTGGGCTATTATTTTAGAAGAAGGAGAAGCAAAGCGAGTTGAAGGATTATGTAGATTTAGATTATGCAGGGAACCCCAATCATCGAAGATCGATAATAGGCTCTATATTCAAAGTAAGAAAAGGGTCGGTGAGTTAGAAGTTGCAGCTGTAAGATACTATTGCACTTCAGATGACAGAAGCAGAATACATGGTAATAGTTGAAGCAAGTAAGGAGACACTATGTTTGAAGGGATTGGTCAGTCATTCAGGTTCAAGGCTGCTATCACAGAATTATTTTATGACAATCAGCGCGCCATTTATTTGGTGAAGGATCAAATGTTTCATCAGGAGTCGAAGACTTTGAGATAAGGTTTCATAAAATCAGAGAGTGAGAGGTAAGAAAGGATATCAAGATAGTAAAGATTGACACAAGGGACAATTATATGTATATCATGATTGAGCTGATCACTACAGAGAAGTTGAAGGCATCATTGAACTTCATCTAGGTACTCAGTGAGGATGGCAAGCTGTCTTGGATGGGGACCATGACATTACCCAATTTTTTGTGGACATCACAACATTTGTATGGTATACTCATGATTTTGAGGAGGGTACATGGCATTAGGAGGAATTGTGAAGGTGGAGGGGGAGAAAGATTCAGTTTGAGCCAAGATGGAGATTATTGTGAATGACTTCAAATTAAAAGCGATGATATTAAAAGCAACAACATCAACAAAGGAAGTAGCAGTATCTATGGCCGACATTGTGTGATAACTGTGAGGAGATAAAGTGTATAGGGGCCATATATGCTGCAATTGAGAACGTGGCCACGTTCTCAAGTTATTCACGCGATTTCTTGTTGCGTAGGGGTCACTGCCTTTCCGTTTTCTGCGTGAGATAGCCATGAGTGGGGGCCACGAGCTGGTACAAAGCTTTTGTTTTCTGGACAAAGCCCACTCGAGTACAGCAGCTATATATTTCAGCTTCTATTTGGTTCCTAGGGTTTCGGTGCAAGTGCAAAAAAGGGGGGGTTCATGCAAGAGGTTGCAGAGTTTTTTTTTGGGTGGAGTGCAAAGGAAAAAGCAGCAGCGAAAGCAGTTAGCCGCCAACTTTGACCGTGGATTTCTGTGCAGTCTTTTGTTCTGTTTTGAGAGGGTTTTGGCATCCCCTTTGTGAGAGATTTGAGAGTTTTATTTGAAGGTTTAAGTTGTGTGATTGTAAACCTTATTTGTACTCTCTCCCTCTAATAGTAAATCTCCCCCCCCCCCCCCCTCTACCCCCCCCCCCCCCCCCTTCTTGCCCCGTGGACGTAGGTAATTTGCCGAACCACGTTAAAATTGATTGTTTGTGTCATGATTTATAATAGAGAGTTTAGGTTCCCTCGATAGGTCAGTCCTAGAACTGATGAGAGTAAGAGCTGATATCTCACTTTGTTGAGATATTTTACTTTCGGTTCTTATTTCCTTAATGAAACAAGGATTTAGTTGAGACCTACTCTCTTATTGAGCACCAGAGGTGCTGCCGAAATTTCTGTTGCGCACAACAATAACCACACATTGTTTTGTCCAGAAGTTTGATACGGTGCAGTCACTGCACACTTCCAAGTGCAGAGCATATACAGTGTGAGGTAGGCACGGAAATTCCCTACCAATTCAGTTGCAGTTTGGGTTTTTTCGAGAATTTTTTTGTGGGTCTTGTTGTATCTAGTTATAACTCTATAAATAAATAGGGTTTTCCTAACAGGTTATAATTTTAATCCTATTAAGTTTACAACCATCAAAAGAGAGAGAAAGAGAGAAGAAGAGAGATTTATTTCTTGTGAGGATTGCAAACTGGGGTTTGAGAGAACTAGTAATTCTTCTTCTAGCTAAAGTAAATCCCCTTCCACCATGGATGTAGGAAAATTGTTGAATCGTGTAAATCTCGCCTTCTTGCTTTGTGATTGCATATGCTGGTTTTAATTTGTGCTTCGTTGTTATTTCGGTGACTTTTTTCTGCGTTAACCTCTAAAAGAATGGTTGGATTTCTTATCAATCTCGAGTAGAAATTACTAACAAGACCTTAAGCAATGCTTCAAGCGGTGAGTAAAATAATTCATGCTTCAAGTGGCTATGTGGGTGTACTTGTTATGGAATTGTGAGAAGAATTCAAATTTTTTAAGTAAAGGAATGTTGAAGAGGATTTCCTAATTGTTAAGAGTTCCAAAAGGGTTAGGAGTGAATGCCATACCACTAAGGGCCTACTTCGAATAGGGTTAATGTGCAGTAAAGGAAGGTAAGGGATACATTACTCATATTTAGAAATTCATCTGCAGTAGATAATTTGGGGAAGTTGTGGGAGTTGAGGGAACTAATGGGAACAACTTGAGATTTTGTTCCCCTTCAAATTGGGGCGTAATGAAGAGGAACTCTTAAAAACAAAATATTACACAAATCAAAAGTTACCCTTGTATCAAGATGAGATTCAAATTGGCGAAATAATATGTAAGGTTATTTATGTAAATTTACATATATTCCTCTTACCTTACCTTCACCTTATTAAACTTTTCAAATGGGGTGAAATAAATTCCCCTTGATTCTCCTTACTAAATTCCCAAATAAATTTTGTTGTTACTTTAACTTTCCTTAACTTATCCAATGACCAATGTTCACTTAATTTTCCTTCGCTGGGGGCAAATCCAAATAGGGATGAACATACCTAACAAACTGCTACATCTAATAACTAAAGAGATCATGATGTATTGAGTGAAGCAGAATCCGAAAAGACATGAGTGTGCTCATTCTGTAACCAAAGAAAAGAAAATGGCAACTGCAAATTCTTTGCAAGAATAAAAAGAAATTTAAATCTAATAAGCGAGCGTCTTCAACTATAAAAACCAATACTATATAATTAAATTTTTTTACAGCATGCTAAGAATATACCTTGAGGTTCATGAGCGGATAATCGCCATCTTCAATACCTGTTGTCCATAAAGAATGTTGTCAGAACCCCATGCCAACTTCTACTCTATCAAGCTGACAAAATAAACTAACAAGACCGAAAATATTTTTCCATTACCAAAAATAAAAATAAAAAAAGGGGGCAAAAAAGGAAGGAGAAGAAGAAGATGGATTTGTACCAATTTTACGCATTGAATGGGAATTAGTGGTTGACTTTACCTTCCGCAACCATGTTAGCAACGACTGGAACAATTTTTCCTCCAAATGAATCACCAGCGATATAGAGATGATTGGAAATGAACTGCGGATGTTCGACAAGCCACTGCAGCAATATATGCATAATACTGAGGTAAATAATAAATCTATGTTTTGATCAAAGAAACTAATCACAAGATGTAATCATATACCTTTCTCAGAAACTCGTAGGTTTGTTTTGATGTAATCGTGTCATCAACCACGTAGCCTTTAGGATTTCTCGAAAATGAGAATCCAGTTCCAACAGGAGAGTCGACCAAGATAACATTAGCAACCTAAATTTTCAGTAAAATTAAAACATATAGAACCACAAAAAAAAAAGGATTGCATCACTTAAACTATGTTAGAGAGTTGACCTTCGTCCATGCATAAGGATTATATACCAAAGATGGTAACCTCCCATCATATTTTGAAGTCACAAATTTTAGAGGACCTGTATAATTAAGGAGAGTGTCAACAAATTATTACGGAGCTCATGGGATGAATCCTGTCAAATCACGATAATCGTAAAATAACCTTACCTAGGTTATACTTTAAATTAATCTAAACTTAACATAAAATAGATAATGGGTGAAATTAGGAGCAACATTATTGAATGAGTAACCTGTCATAATACTTTCTTTCATATCTTCTATAATCTTTTATACATGAACGGTCCCATCTTCTGCACTCAAAAATAAACTCCAATTAATAGATTCTTATGTTTGACTATTTTTTCAGCATACCCCCCCAACTTTCAACATTACTTTCAGAGGACCCCCAAGCTTTCAACGTTATGTTAAAAAACTATCAACTTTCAACGCTACTGTCAGAAAACCCTCGTTATGATGTTAGGAAGGCATGTGAAAAATTTTCGAACATCATTTTAATATTTGTGGAAGGCCCCAAGGTAATGGGCGTCTCCTGTTCACGTCATTTGACTTGGGTTCCCCTGATCTGGTGAACTCTAATTAAGTTTGCCTAAACAATATTATTGCTTTAATGAGCGGCTTGCCATGAGGATGAGGCTTGTAACTCTGGATAGACTTCAGAAAATGGGTTTTCCCATAATATTGGTACTATGTGTGACTCCCATCCTAAGTGTGCTGAACATCTATTCTTTTTTTGTGATTTTGCATTCTCGCAGTTGGAAAATTCTGGGGCAAATTAAAGGGAGGTATTTACTAGAATATGACTTTCTTTTCTATGTATATTCCGGTTAACTTTTTTTCCCTGCTGGCCTTGGGAGAATATCTTGTGGTTAACCTTTGAAAGGTTTTCTCTGTTGAAATCAGGGAAATCTCAGTATGTATTTCCATTAGGCTCAAGGCCAAATGTCTAAATGTACATAAGACTACTACTCTACATGTAGCCGATGTGGGACCAATCTAAGGATTAAACTAGGTATTTATATCTACTTCAACACTCCCCTAAAACTCATGGTTGATCAATCAACAAGAGTTTGGTTATGTTAACGAGATGACATTGGAGGGTCTGAAATTAAGTAAAGAAATCAGTCAATTGCATCTTAGAGCTAACATAAGGTAAGAAAATAGTGTCATTAGTGATGAGATGTGAAATTATAGTCAATCTCGATGCTTAGTGCGCAAATGAATTATGAGACTGTTAGCAATCTTTATGGCACCAATATTGTTTTCACAGTACTTCCGAGGATGAGACGGCTACAGTCCAAAAAAGCACTCTTTTTTTGTGAACACCACAAATACTTCTTCGGTTTGTCTGAATCTCCAATACTTAACAGCTTATAGAATTATTGAAAGAAGAAGAAGACATGAGATTTCGTTTTTTCTGTGTCTTTCAAATGATCAGAAGAAGCCCTTTTATTAATTAGGTTCATGAGAGACAAAGATTTAAATTTCAGTTATTGCAACGTTTGTAACGTACGTACGAAACGTTCAGCTGGTTTTAAGTGAGCGCATGCAAAACGTTTAAGCTCGTTTAAAGCACAGCACGTGCAAAAAGAGCATGTGCCGAACTGCGTGCACGGTCCTGCTCTCTTGCTCGCACGCTCGCTTATATACCAACACAAGTGTGTAATACTAACACCTTTGTTATGCCATAAATAACATGTGTGTTAATTTAAACCAACTAAAATGCATTTAATTAGCCAATGTGAGACTAAAAAACTCGCATATTGCTAATTAAGTACATTTTAATTTCATCTATGGAATCCAATCATTAAATGATATATTTTCATAAAATCCCTCTAAGAATCATTTATTTCAACAGTTCCTACATTTTTCTCTATATTATGAGTAATATAGAGGAACTTAATACAAAATATAAATTTTTGTGTTTAGTAATATGGTGGTTCATTCTCATCCACTCACTTAAATGAGAGACCACATTCACATGCAGTAGAGAGAGTGATAATGAGATACCTTACTACCAAGCATAAAATAATTTTTAGTGTGTACCACTTGATTATACGTACGTTAATTAACATCAAAATGGTAGGGATCTATATAAATCTTAGTTTCTGTACCAATTTCGAAGGCGAGACCGCTGAATGCAGAGCAGCCGGGGCCTCCGTTGTGCCAAAGTATGAGTGGGTCTTCTTTAGGGTTCTTCTCCGACTGTATGAAGTAATAGAACAGCTCCACGCCGCTCACCTCATCAACGCCTACATACCTGTAATTTTTTTTTAGGTTAAAGTACTAAAAACTAATTAATCAAGAAGAAGTTAAATAAAAGGGAGAAGAAAAAAAGGGGATAAATGGATGCAATTATGTGGCAATTAATTAATTATAACCAGTACTGACCCAGTCTCAAGGTGGAAGGGGAGAGGTCCTTTGAAGCCGGGGAGGTGAGTTATGGTCACTTGACAGAGAGCAGGCGGAGATGAGAAGAGGAGCAAAGGAAGAAGAGAGAGAAGAGGACGAGCCATTAATTGCTCGTTAAGAACTCGAAGAAGCAGAAGCTAGACGAGAAGATGAGTTATGGTCGCTGTCTTTTTATGCTAAGTGGTTCCAGCTACAGAATCGTTGACTGTGATAACTGTCGTTTTTTAAACTAATTAAGTGGTTCCGGGCTTCCGGCTAAAAAACGCTGACTCAAATATCACACGACAAATTATTATTTGAGCTTTGCTACGGGGACCCAGAATATGGGACCAATAGGAGGGATAAGTGAGGTGTCCCCCTCCTATTGGATAATGAGTTGGCTATCATTAATGATGGTCAACTCATTATCCAATAGAAGGGGGACACCTCACTTCTCCCCTCTATTGGTCCCATATTTTGGGTCCTTGAGGAATTTTTCTTATTATTTCAACACGTTTTCTTTGAGTTGGAAGCCGTGATGTAGGGGGTCCCATATCTCGGGGCCGTTTTAATGTATGCTATTTACCTTAATTAGTAGCATTAGGTTTCTATTATTATTAAGCTTCATGTGTTTTTGTTTTTGAACTACGTACTATCTAGCTTTTTTTAAATTAACGGATGGAAGGGTCTTTCATTTCTAAAAAAATAAATGAATCACATGATGACGGTGAGTTATTTAGATTAGTATTATGCGTGTATGTGTTTTCTAAAAAATAAATGAATCACATGATGTCGACGGTGAGTTATTTAGATTAGTATTATGCGTGTGTGTGTAAACAATGCAAAACAATCAAGACTTCGTATACCTTAGCTTCTTTTAAAAATTTATTTAATTATTTAATTAAAGACAATAATTTTAATTAAAATTAATTTATAAACTTACTAATTGGATTTATAACTAATTTAAATATGTTTTTATTGTAGTTATTGAAATTTAAATGATGATATATTTTTCTTTAACTTGCTATTTTATTCAAATTAATATGTGTACAATTTATTTTTAGGTTAAATACAATTTTTTTATTGTTGACACAAATGCCGTGGCGATGCGCGGGTCAAATTTGCTTGTTTTAACTATAGTCTTACTTTGCTTTCTCAAATTTGAATTGATGTTAGGATGAACATTTTCTGTAAATTCTCCTGTCTTTCGGTAATCTATACTATTTATCTACACAATACTAGACTAATATTAATTTAATGAAGTATTGTTAATGATTATAAAATTGCAAGAAAAAGCAGTGTTGTGCGCCTATGCGGAAGCGTGCTCGCACACCGAATGAATCTATGATCACGGAGAAGAGAAACAACCACACACGAGCACAATTCAAACCAAATATGATAAATCAAACCAAACACAGAGATATATGTTGTTCGGCAATTTGCCTACGTCCACAGGAAGAGGATGGGGAGATTTCACTAAATCTAGGAGGGTACAAAGGGTTACAATCTCACAAAACCACTCACACAAACCCTAAACCAAAACTCTCAACTTGCTCACAAGTTTTCCCTCTCAATATGCTCAGTACAATCTAAAATCTCTTATTCTTAACCCTAGAAAATCGTGTTCCTATTTATATCAAAACAGAAACCCAAACCAAACAGGAAAGCAAAACAGGCCTGAAACATGTCGTAAGTCGACTTAAAGTGGGAACAAGTCGACTTACCATAAGTCGACTTGACAGAGCCCAAAATAGCAACTTGAGAACAGATCATTAGTCGACTTAACAGGCATGTTAAGTCGACTTGTCAGAGGTCAAAAACAACAACTCCAGAACGTAACGTAAGTCAACTCGTGCACAGACATAAGTCGACTTACCATAAGTCGACTTATGCCTATGCATGAGTCGACTTATGCCTATGCATGAGTCGACTTATGACAGAAAAAACTAGTTTTTCTGAGTTTTCCACAATTCTCCACATCGACGAAGTTTTCTCAAAACTGAGCTGACTCCAAACAAAGAGCACCAATGTGTCGCCTCTCCAAAATCGGTTGCACCAATATGGTTGTCTATGTACCCCCTCTCCCAAGGGATTAAGCCGCCCGTAGTTCATTCAAATGGCCGTCAATGGTCTCAACAATCACGAATGTACAACAAGCTTCGACAATGATCAAACTTGTTGCTCGGAACCACCTTAGTGAGCATATCTGCCGGATTATCCTTTGTGTGGACCTTCACAATCTCCACATCGCCATATTCAATAACATCTCGAACGAAGTGATACCGAACATCAATGTGCTTCATCCTCGCATAAAAACCCTGATTCTTTGCCAAATAGATAGCACTCATACTATCGTAGTGAATAGTAACGGACTGCTACGATATACCAAGTTCCTCCAAAAGTCCTTAAAGCTAAATAGCCTCCTTCACAGCCTCCGTAATTGCCATATGCTCTGCTTCCGTCGTCGACAAAGCTACCGTAGACTGTAAGGTGCATCTCCAACACATCGGCACACTGGTCAAAGTGAACACATACCCCGTAATAGACCGGTGCTTATCCAAATCCCCGACATAATCCGAATCAACATAGCCAATGCACAACTGCCCACCTCTAGTGTCCCGCTCAAAAACCAGACAACATTGAGCGTACCTCGAATGTACCTCAAAATCCATCTCACGGGGTCCCAATGACCCACTCCTGGATCGTGTATGTATCTCGAAACCATGCTCACTACCTGTGATAAATCTGGCCTCGTACATACCATCACGTACATCAAGCTCCCAACCGCGCACGCATATAGAGTTTTTGACATCAACTCTTGATCTTCAACTATCTTCGGTGAGAGATCAGCTAAAAGCTTCAAATAGGTTCCCAAAGGTACACTAACCGGCTTCATATCCATGCTAATCAAATCGATGTAGAACCTTCTTCAAATAAGCTACATGTGTCAAACAAATTCTGTCCTTGTCTTTATCTCTGTCGATCTCCATCCCTAAAATATACTTAGCCTCACCCAAATCCTTCATCTCAAACTCCTTTGAAAGTTGTGCATTTAACTCATCTATAGAAGACCTGGAAATAGAGGCAACCAACATGTCATCGACATAAAGCAACAAATAGATATACGCAGCTCCTTTCAACTTGTAAAAATACACGTAAGAATCAAACTAGCTCCGAGTGTACGAATGACCAATCATAAAACCATCAAATCGCCTATACCACTGTCGAGGATACTGCTTCAAACCGTATAGCGATTTCTTTAACCTGCAAACCAGGTTTTCCTTCCCTACAGTTCGGGATCCCAATGGCTGAGTCATATATATTTTTTTCATTAAGATCACCATGAAGAAATATCGTCTTCACATCCAACTGATCTAACTCTAATCCATACTGTGCCACCAAAGCTAGTAAAATCCGAATCGAAGAGTGCTTTACCACTAGAGAGAAAACCTCATTATAATCAATATCTTTCTCCTGTGCATAGCTCTTCGCAACCAACCTAGCCTTGAACCTCACTAGAGTACCCTCAATTCCCTCCTTCTTCGTGTATACCCACTTGTAACCAATCGTCTTCCGCCCCTTTAGAAGCTCAACAAGCTCCCACGTATCATTCTTGTGAAGAGACTTCATCTCCTCCTGTAAAGCCACCTGCCACGAATCAGCCTCCAAATTTTGCTCGGCCTCTCTGAATGTAGTAGGCATCAACTCATCGATACTCTTGTTTGGTGGAAAATTTGCAGTAAAAGAAACGAAGGAAAATTGATTTGTATTACTTTAATCTCAGTTACAATTGGATTTCCTGATTACAAAAGAGACAAACGAAGGAAAATTGATTTGTATTACTTTAATCTCAGTTACAATTGGATTTCCTGATTACAAAAGAGAGGAGAATGATCTGGATTCTCCCCTTTAGTTACAATTGGATTTCCTGATTACAAAAGAGAGGAGAATGATCTGGATTCTCCCCTTTGTTTAATTATGAGTTCTTCACGGTAGCGATGGAGTGCCTCCCTCAAATGCTCGCGTCGAGTTTGCTCTCTGTTGACGATCCGACGTTTTAATTCACTGGAACATGATCTTCTCCTCACAATTTCACGTTGTGGAGAACTCTGAACGAGTTTAAAACTCTATGAAAGAGTTGATTTAACCGAAAGTCGGTTATAAGCCAAGGATGAAGAAGATCTTGTTGCTGATCTCTAAAGCTCCAACCGAAGGATGAAGGATCCTCTTTTCGCTGCCAAGAAGTTCCAACAGACCGCCGTCGAAAGATCCAGCCCTGATCTGATTATCAAAAATCCGATCCTTAACTCTGTTGAGTTTGTTGTTATTTATAGGGGATTAAGGGGTGTAACCACCTCCTTAATTCGCTCCTAAGTGGGGCTAATGGGATGTAACCGCTCCTTAAATCACTCCTGAGTGGAGTTGTGATCCCCTCAGATCGTGGGAAACAGTTTTGAAACCGTTCAACTCGTGTTTGAACGAGTCAAACGCAGATCCTGCATTCTGGCATGAATTCTGTGTCCAAACGCAGTGTCTGGAAGCTTGAACGCAGTGATTGGAAGCTGCATTTGCAGCGGATGAAAGCTGCATTTGGCAGCGGTATAGAGCTGCGTTAGGCAGCGCTTGGAGCTGCGTTGAGCAGCGTCGGGCAGCGATGTTAAGCTGCGTTGTGCAGCGATGTTGAGCTGCGTTGTGCAGCGATGTTGAGCTGCGTCGGGCAGCGAATAGAGCTGCGTCCAGTGACAATTTAAGCTGCGTTTGCAACTTTTGGAGTTGCATTTGAGCTGCGTTCGTGGCCTTCCGCAGCTTGATTTGAAGAGACCATTGATTTGTAGTCTCTTTCTGTCGAAGCGTTGCAAAGATCGTCATTTTGTAATCTTTACTTTAGCTCTTTGATATGCAAGAGTCGTCAGATTGTAACTCTCGATGTTGATGGTGAAGTCTGTTAAACTAGAGCTCTCATTGGTTGTCATGAAGGTCGTCAGATTGTAACCTTCAGCGATCTACGTGAAAGTCTTCAAATTGTAGCCTTCTGGAAGTCGTCAGATTGTAACTTCCATCATCGGTGTTTGATGGGGATCAGCTATCTATTGTGATTTTTAGACAGCCTACAGAACCCCCTCCAAAGTTTTCGAAAGTTCGCG